TTTTTCGTCATTACCCATTTAAGCCGTCTCCAGCCATTATTCCTAACATACGTTTGGCGTCCTGTAGCTCGTGACAGAGCCTGAAGCACTTAGAGGCCTAGAAAACCTTGGTTACTTGTTTTGCGTCAACGTGTCAAGTTTTAAACAGAACAGTCCAAAGGATGGGGGAACAAAAGAACCAAAATGTTTTTATGGGCAGCTCTGATTGCTGAACGACACAAGTAGTAGAGAGTTTGAAATTTTTGTCTAAAATCTTATTTTATCGACAAGCCTGCTATCGTATAATACTCCAACATTAATTATTTGCTGTTCAAAAAAAATACATATTGTTGCGTCATCGAGATCATGTGATTCTCACGCTCTCTACTTTCTTGAATTATCCTGTATTTTGGCGAATGTTCTAGTTCTTACTAGATATAGGGTAGGCTGGTATATAAAAGAGGGGAATGTAATATGTCTGTGTAGATAGTGAGTAATTGAACTGCAGTCAGAGAGCACGAGAGACGTTACAGCGTTTGTTTAGCGCGATTGTTGAAGTTGAGTGTATTGGTAAAGTTATATTCGGAAATAATAAACCAGTTTTTACTAAGAAAAAACTTGTGTCGCTTAAGTTTCGTCGGAACGAAGTTACGGAAAATTAATTAACAACCGGAGACGTAACAATATAATCTTCCAAACTTCTAAAAACCTGTATCTAGATCTCTCGATCTTTTCCGGTTGACTAAGTGATAGGGTAGCACAATGGAAACTGGAGACCTTGTGGTTAAAGACATCGTGGTCAAATCTTATATAAAAGTACTCCTTCTAAAATGCTCATGCTATTTGAAAAAAGAAAAAAAATGCACTTGCTAATAGTAACAGCAAAATGGCTGATTCTAAGGAAAGCAAAATAGACAACAGTAACCTAAATGAAAGTAAGGTATTCCATTTTTATGGATTCACTGAATAAGGATAACTAGATTATCTATTATCATGAAGGCCTTGAGTTTGGGAAAATTATTTGTCGAATATTAATGACATTATCTGGTTCTTGTGCTATCTGCATAATTATAACTATGATCTAATGTTTGGATTATTGTTGATATCTCTCCACCGGTATTCTCTTCTAGTGATTATATTGTTGTTATCTCTCCACCGGTACTCTCTTCTAGTGATTATATTGTTGTCATCTCTCCACCGGTACTCTCTTCTAGTGATTATATTGTTGTCATCTCTCCACCGGTACTCTCTCTTAGTGATTATATTGTTGTCATCTCTCCACCGGTACTCTCTTCTAGTGATTATATTGTTGTCATCTCTCCACCGGTACTCTCTTCTAGTGATTATATTGTTGTCATCTCTCCACCGGTACTCTCTTCTAGTGATTATATTGTTGTCATCTCTCCACCGGTACTCTCTTCTAGTGATTATATTGTTGTTATCTCTCTACTTGTAGTTGATGTTTTTCATCCTCTATTACTATGTAGCTAACCAAAATAATTGATATTTTAATAAATACTTTATTCAAAAAATACGGAAATGACTTTTATTTTGTGCAATGACATAGTATAGTACACTCACAACCTTAATCAACCTATTTTATATTGTAAGCATTAGCTAAGATTTGTATATTTTGTATTTTCCAGTTGCATTATGTGGAAAATATCCGTCATCCACTTCTGTTTGTTTCTGGTTGTTGACCCAAGTAATGCACATACACATCATGAGGATATTATTGACTTGTCATACGTATTTGATGAAAGTACAATTTACTGGCCAGCAGAAAAGAGGCTGAATTTGGTCATTCGAGAAAATGGAACAACAAAAGACGGATATTGGTGAGTATCTTTGTCATGTTACTATTAGCAACTGACTCGGCAGTTTGTTTCTCAAAGACACAAAATGTATACTCGATGTGAAAAGAGTATCCTGTATGTCCTGTTGATAATCAATTGTATAAAGTATTTTCTAAGATCTAAACACCAACTTAATGTTATTGTTGATAAACTATACCAGAAGCGTAATGACAGACATGTAATTTCTGTTGACAAACTACTCCACAAGCTTAAAGAAAATATTTAATTTCTGTTGACAAACTAGACCGCAACCTTAATAATAAAACTATATTTTAAAACTGCACATTACTCTTAAATGACACATGTATATTCTGTAGACACACACTGGAAGACTATTGGTAGTTTATACTGATAAACGGAGTTATTACTAACGATATCACCATCAGGAGCTTATAATATTAATGTATGTATCTTTACCAGGAATCTTATTAATTATTGTATTTGCAACTGATGAAATCACCACCAGGAGCGTATAATATTAATGCATGTATTTTGTACAAGGAAGATCTTGTTGATAATTGTATTTGCTAATGGTGATATCACCATCAAAAACTTAATAATAAGTGTATTTCGTACTGGTGCTAACAACGTCAGGATTAACTTGAGTCAATTTCTTTGCTGATAAATGATGTCAAAATTTGTAATTGTTTGTCTAGAATGGTAAGGGATACTTGGATGAGGTTTTAATTGGTGACAAACGGCATCAATATTATTTATCTGTGTTTATTTATCAGTAACGCCTGATTAGTGTTACAGTAGTACAGGATATTGGTGTTAAATAACACCAGGTTCTTATTTGAATATTTCACGTACATGTAATGCCTAATTAGTGTTACTAAATCCGACTTTTTGTGTTGAGAAACAGTGAGAGTTGGGCAGGATAATGGTGTTAAATAACACCAAAATGTTATTTGAATGTTCTTAGTTATCAGTAACGGTTTACTCAATGTTTCTTTCTGGGGTCTCAAACTATAACAGAAGAGAAAATGCAGGTCAAGAGTGAGGCATGAAATATGGGGTACGTGAAACTCCTCCTCACGTCCGCTTCATTTATGTTTGTATTTAGTTTTACACATTATACAATGCTTCATACGTTTCAGGTATCAGATTGATGAGTTTTCTGCTGCAACTCATGGAGGAACACATCTAGACGCCCCTTGTCACTTCGCTCTTGGTAGTTGGTGCGTTTCGGATATACCTATCAACCACCTGGTGGCGCCAGCTGTTGTAGTGGACGTTGCTGATAAAACAAGAGGAAATCCAGACTATCTTATTCAGTCTACTGATGTCTATAAGTGGGAGGAAAAGCATGGGGAGATTCCTGACGGTTCTATCGTCTTGTTTCGTACAGGATGGGGAAAGTTTTGGCCAGACGTTGTCAAATACATGGGTACGGACACAAATGATGAGAGCAAGTTGCATTTTCCTGGAATCCATCCAGACTTGGCACAGTTTCTAGTAGACAACAGGAACATTTATGGTGTGGGAATCGATACAGCGTCCCAAGACTATGGTCAGTCGAAGATTTATAAGTCTCATCAAATCTTGGAAGCTAAAAATATATATGGCTTGGAAAATGTAGCCAATCTGGAAAAACTTCCCCCTACAGGAGCTATGTTGTACGTCATGCCCATGAAACTTCGTAACGCTAGTGGTGCCCCCTGCAGGATTGTAGCAACAGCGAGGAGTCAAGATTCTGATAACAATAACAATGCTTCTACTACATACTTGTCTATAATTCTTATTTACGTGTGTTGCGTATTCGTACAAATATGCGTCACATCATTCTTTTAAGTTTGTTTATAAAACATCTTCAAATGTTAAAGTACAATATATGGTTACGTGTAATCATGAATATCAAACCAGAAATGATATGATACGTTCAGTAACTAGACATAAACAAGAAGATATTTGCTAGAAGAGCCTTTACTTTACAGTAAAGAGTTAAAAGGAATTTGTAGCTTATAAAACGTGGAATATTTTTATTAAATAAAAACATTTTCTTATACCAGGAGATAATGATTCATGGACGTATAAAACGTGGAATATTTTTATTAAATAAAAACATTTTCTTATACCAGGAGATAATGATTCATGGACTTATAAAACGTGGAATATTTTTATTAAATAAAAACATTTTCTTATACCAGGAAATAATGATTCATTGATTTATAAACCGTGGAATATTTTTATTAAATAAAAACATTTTCTTATACCAGGAGATAATGATTCATGGACTTATAAACCGTGGAAATTTTGCTTCAGAATTCTGAAAGTGAAAAATGTTTATCGTTTTAGAATTATTCTTTTAGTTTATATCTTTTGGAAATACGAAATATTATTATCTTATAAAATTTCTCTGCACATAATATTCAGTGACATTATTCTAAGAACTTAATACGTACAGAACTCACATTAATTTTAACTAGTTACAGACAAATCCCGTTATCGAACACTTTGTACAAACCATACATTAATAGTATCACCACGTTTTTATACATCTGTTATGTACAAAACACATTATTTTAACTGTTCACAGAAAAAATCACACTATCGACAAATTATGTTATCTATACACATACAAACCACATGTTATTTTAATAGGTTACAGACAAATAATGTTATCGAACAATTGTCACGTATTTATATTTATAAACGATAAAATATTATCCCAGTTGTTTTCCATTTTACGATTTCAGATTATAGATGTTGATAATTTACATTGTTTAGTAATCTTTCATTTGCGACACTAGATGACAGGACAATCGGACTGCTGCATTCGTTTCATAGAACAAAATATTAATTGTTATTATTAATATACGTAACTCAAAAGACTTAATAAAAAATAATTTAATTGATTGTTTCATCCTAAGAAAAGTAGTTCAATATTTTGTGAAAACTGTTTGTAACTTTTGAAGTTTCAAACTTAACTTTACATAGAGATCTCTAGTAACTGTGGATATTTTCTTAGAATATTATATTATCACGTAATCTTGTTATCAGAATTGTGACTACTGATTTTTAAATTTAAGTGACTGACATCCAAACCTGAGAAAAAATATTTTTATTATATGTCGTTAGATGGCAGACGATAGCATCAAATTCGTAACGAAACGAACATGCAAAAGTTATGAAGCCATATCTGAGACAGACCTGACAACTAAAGTAGCAAATGTTTGTTTTAATTAGTCTTCATGATTTTTTTTTGCAGATAATTAATTCATACTTTGTTTTATTCATAACACTGTTCCTTTCTCTATCTATTAAACCTTATAATTGTTATACTATCTTTCTACCATTTACTGTAATTATTATCCTAATTCGTGCTAGTTAATTTAAACTGTGTCTCGTTTTGTGATTGGTACGCTATTAAAACTTGTATGAAATTCATGCATTGAGAGGAAAGCCGTGCGAGAAAATCAACATATCACATAGTGATGTTACTGATTTATTCTTCTGGATTATCCAACACAAACTGTTTGAAACACTAGTGTTAATGAAATATTAAATTGGTAGCTTTAATGCTATATAGTTTTCAAATCTGATGTACATATATGTTCAACGTGGTGAGTAAACTATAAGTAAAATACCTTACATATAATATACAGTATAAGAAGTCTACTCTTCTTCTTTCGTTGTTTCTTTTGTTCAAGTTGGTGTAACTGAGTGATAAGTGCTGAATCGAACGATAGATTGGGGTACATGTATATTTGTTGTTATTTTAACATGATATATATATATATATATAAATTTAGACATTGAAAGAATGTGTAAGAAATTCAACACGATGTATATTTTGTGAAATTCAGGTACCGAGAAAAATATCTTATGTGAAATTTGTGTATTGAAAGTAAACCGTAGGACAAAACCTACATGATATACTTTCATATGAAATTCGTGTATTGAAAGAAAGCAGGTTGAGGAAATCTCCATAATATCTCAGTGAAGTTCAAGTATTGAAAGAAAGTTGCATGAGGAAATCTACATGTTTCGTGTGGAATTTAAGTTGTGATACAATGACATTTAAGGAAACCAAAATATATTTATGAGAAATTCATGTTTTAAGAAAAAGGCGTGTGAGAAACTTAACATCATATACGTCATTTTTCAATGATTATTCTCTGAAGTTTTGCGAAAAAAAATTGTTACACAAACTCAAAATATATAAAGTTTGTTTTTTACCATTTGACCACATCTTCGCTTTTTACTCGCTGGAGTGAAGGACAGACGGACGATCTTATTGGTTGTAGTCAAGGGCAAATGGACGACTTTATTGGTTTTTCCTGAGTGCGAAACGTAGCTTGACACCTAGAAATTATTAGCTGTACTAGAAGAAACGCCGCTCTATGGGCGGCTGTTTGTGCTAGTACTTACTAATCATAATATTCATACCTCATTTAAAGACATTTAGAAAAATAATTTTTCTGGGAAATACTACACGGGAGAAATGTTCAGTTTGTGCTGATATAAACTGTAATGTTTTTATATATTAAAGATGGTACCCTTTATTGAAAAAGTAACAATTTATTTTAAGAACTCCATTTTTTAGTATTATATTTATAAATTACACCAATAAAAATATAATGAAACCCTCACGTACAGTCCTGGTAAAAGTCGTGTTCTTGTTGTGAGGAGAGTACTCTTACTTAAAATTATGTTCTGTGATTAAGAAATGGTTGTTGCACATACCACAGTTATTTTCCTAATTGTCTCAAATACCCAATAATTGAATACCCAAAGTGTTTGTTTTTGAATTTCGCGCAAAGCTACACGAGGGCTATCTACGCTAGCCGTCCCTAATTTAGCAGTGTAAGACTAGAGGGAGGGCAGCTAGTCATACCACCCACCGCCAACTCTTGGGCTACTCTTTTACCAACGAATAGTGGGATTGACCGTCACTTTATAACGCCCCCACGGTTGAAAGGGCGAGCATGTTTGGTGGGACTGGGATTCGAACCCGCGACCCGCAGATTGCGAGTCGAGCGCCCTAACCACCTGGCCATGCCGGGCCGTGAATACCCAAAGTGAGAAATTTTTATGGATGTTTGTTTGGGGTGCCATTCAATAGATGGCGCCACATCGTATTTATTATTGTAGTATGATGGTATTATTTTTACAGCCTTCATATAATGTATATAACCATCATTCAGAGGGATACATTTTATGACAGTCATACTGGGGGTTATAACCATTATAAAAGGCGTAGTTTTTATGACCACAACAAAGTTTATAGCAATCATACATGGAGTTTAAATAGTCATTATATCAGGTTGGTTTTAAAATGATCATTCGTTTATAGTTTTATAACAGTCATACGGTGCGGTTATATATCACTTACATATGTAGCTTAGTTTTTATTATCACATCGGAGTGGATTTTATAACCATCTTACTGGGGTAGAGTTTATCCTATGATACATAAACGGGTATAGGTTTTTAGTGCAATTGTGGACTTTGTTACTAAATACAGACTTTTCCATGACCACCTTTCCCTGAGGTGGATACAGCCGATAGCCCAATTGGGCTTTGCTCTAAAACAACCAAATTGAATACCGAACCTTGGAATTTCAAGACACAGGTAGTGTGTCGTGCAGCCAAACAAACCTGCAGGGCACACTGTATGTTAACAACAGGAGTGATAGTTTAGCAGTTTTTATCTTTTTGTAGCTGGGACTGCGGTAATCCAATTATCACATATTTTCAGTGGATGTGCACTATTTGACCCTTGCTTCAAATACCAAGTTTTAAGGCAATCCATTAAGAAATACACGAGATATAAAATTTCCAATTTTCATTGAATTTCTTCCTTTTTTAGCCGCGGATGAGTGACTCATAACACAACACAGAGTTTTAATTTTTAGTACAAACTTTTAGTTAATAGCTCCGTCAACTATTGGCCGATTTGTGTTCTAGTTACAGTTTTCTACTCAGGAGGTCAACCCCTTTTGATTGATATAATTAATTTATTCTAATCTTGCCTGAAATAATTTGAATGTGAGGGTAGGCTGGTAGAGTTCCTGATGAGTAATAAAATTGAATCGGGTATATGCGCGCCCCACACTTGGTATTGCTGGCGCATAAAAATATAGCTAACAAAAAGGGGAAACAAAGGTCTCATATATTATATTACTCTAATCCTACGTAAAATGATTTCAAGAACCGCGGCTATTTAGGATTCCCTCATATTTTTCCTTCGCACCGAGAGTACGGAAGCTTTATTTGATAGAAAAATAATTAACTTTCATGTTTTTTTAGGTGGTACGCTAATAGATCTTTAAAAAATAATTAACTTTCATGGGTTTTTTTAATTGGTACACTAATAGATCTTTAAAAAATAATTAACTTTCATGTTTTTTTTTAAGTGGTACACTAATAGATCTTTAAAAAATAATTAACTTTCATGGGTTTTTTTAATTGGTACACTAACAGATCTTTAAAAAATAATTAACTTTCATGTTTTTTTAGGTGGTACACTAATAGATCTTTAAAAAATAAGTAACTTTCATGGGTTTTTTTAATTGGTACACTAATAGATCTTTAAAAAATGATTAACTTTCATGTTTTTCTTAAATTTGGTACACTAAATTTGTTGAACCTGGGGCATGATGGTGGGTAAAACCAAAAACGCGGCCTTGCTAACTAATGAATGAATATTTGCTGTACAATTCTTATCAACGTAATAAGTGTAGCTACCAGTTTGGCTGCTAATTTTGATTTCATTCCTTTAAGTCACACGCTCAATCATTTTTTGGCCGCACCTTTTTTTTTTGACACCTAAGGTGTTTTGTATTAGATCACCATAAAGTGACTACTAAGCCTTGGTTACAATACAAAATCTGAACATTACTATAACATAACATATAAGATGATGTGTGTTA